CATTCATTTAAACATTCATTTATTTTATTTTCGGCTTAGTCTCTTTATTCATCAGGGGTTGCCACAGCAAAGTGAACCGGCAACTTATCTAGCATGTTTTACGCAGCGGATGCCCTTTCAGCCACAACCCAAGACTGGAAAGCACCCATACACACTCTTTCACACACATACACAGCAAATTTTGCCTATTTAATTCACCTTGTGCATGTCTTTGGACAGTGGGGGAAAACTAAGCACCTGGAGGAAACCCATGCGAACACGGGGAGAACATGCAAACTCCACACAGAAATACAAACTGATCCAGCTGGGATTTAAACCAGCGACTTTACTGTGAAGCGATCATGCTACACACTTCTTCACCGTGACGCCATTTACAACATTCTAAGTTAAAACTTACTTCAGTTCTTTTAATAAACCATATAAAACAAACATCTAATTGATTTTAAGCATCCATTTTGGTATCTTTGAGCTGAGAAACACCATGAACTGATCTCAAGCATGAATTGATTGCTGGAGTGAAAGAGCTCCTTGTTAGCAGGTCTTTGTTCCTGGTTAAGTGTCACAAAGCAGAAGCACTTTTTCAAACCAAAGTGACTGACAATAATTCAACATGAATGTTTATTCTTCTCATTTCTTGACTTCCTGAATTTGAGTCCATTGGTTTTGACTTCTGTTATTGTTACGGCTGTTAGCTCAAAGGAGTGGCTCAACCACACCTCTCTCCCTCCTCCACCTCTTTCTCGCTTATTACTCTTCCTCCTTTTCCTCTGAACTATGTTGTGCGCATCAGTAACCCGTAATCTGAATCACTCACTTCATAGCAATTAGGTCATTAAAAAATGCATCACGCTTCAGAGCCAAAACCAGCATTTTTTGAGAACCTTCTTAAAACGGGACAGATTTTTTTATTTTGAACGAGTGAATCAGTGGGTTTTAATCTTATGGTAATAATATATAAATGCCATTGGTTCACTGTAAAAAAAAAAAAAAAAAAAGTTGAGACTCAACTTAAATCGAGTCAAGTGCAGTACTTGGGCTAAAGGTTGAGTTAACTCAACAACAACAACAATAAAAAAAAGCTGCACAGCAAGTTGTCTTACAATTTTAAGTTGAATTTACAGTGTAAATCAGAATCAGTTAAACGTGTAAAAGAACTTTAAGATGATGAAATGAAAAATTTACTCATCATTTATTCATCCTTTTTCTGTTCCAAGCTTATAGAAGATATAGAAGATATTTATGGAAACTAGTAGCCATTGATATTCATATGGGGAATAAAATGATACAGAAGTGATACAGACATTATTCCAAAATCCCTTTTATATTCAAGAGAAGAAAGAAACTTAAGCAGATTTGGAACAAATGCAGGGTGAGTAAAAAAACAAAACCTTAATTTTTGGAGTGAGCTATCCCTTTGTTGTTTTTTTTTATGATAATATTTTTTATGATTTTTTTTCTGTGTTTTTACACCTTTAACTGATAGGATTGTAGTGAGTCTAGACAAGATAGCATGGGAAGCCGAGTGAAGGAAAGAATCTGCACAGGACCTCAAGGTGGGAATCAAACTCAGGTCATCGCGAACACTGGAGTGCCATGTGTCGGCACACCAACAACTACACAACTACACAATTGTTCTGCACACAGGGGGTGGTGTGGAGAGACCCCCTTCATATAATTTTAATGCACTTTGGGGGGATTTAAATTATAGTTATTCACTGCTTAAAGACACTTACTGTTAAACAGGTTACGGATTTTTACTGTAGCATTTTTAACATTTTTCTTACCATTGAAATGATTGACATATTTAAGAGTGTAAACAATGATTGCGATATAAAAGGGCACATTACTTACTACTTAATTATTATTTATAGTACACGTTTCTTTGTATTTATCTTTTATCTATCTTGTACTTATTTTTGGTAAAGTTAATGAAAATACAGTAAGTCACTTATTGGTAGGCCCACACGGAATCTGCGTGTGGAGATTTTCAGCCCATCATCATAGAGTCTATTTATTTATTTGTGTGTAAATTTATATTTATTCAGTTTTTAAATTAATGTCAGTAGTATTACTCACTAATTTGAAAATGTTCTTATGATTTACTTACAATACAGTCTGTAAAGTGATAATTTCTGTCTTTTAGTAGATTTATGGTGTGAGAGACTTGCTTTGTTTACTAAATAAATGGATCTAATAGGATTTGCATTGTCACCATTAAATATGTTTACAAAAATAAGTAAAAAGTGTATTATTTTTTATTTAACATGTTAAGTTTTTAGTGTACAATACGGTCATTTTGCATAAATTCACAGAATTTTCACAATATTCTGCACAGAAAAAGCAAAAAAAAAAATATGTCTGCAGATGCCTGGCCCTACTTATTGGTAACTCACAGTGCATTGACGGTTAACAAGCACAAAGTTGAATTTTAATAATGCATTAGTAAATGTTGAAATTAACGGTATTCTTCATCCTTGTATTAAATTAAAAATTTAGCCATCTATGTTGAGTGAAATAAGTTTAAAATCAACTAGTCACTGCAATATAGTGAAGTATGGTATTACTTTTCATTTGTAAGGTTTCTTACAAAATACTTGCCTTTCTGTAAATACATTCAACAATTCAGTTCATCAAGCAAATAAATTCAAAGAAGTAGATTTTTTCCTTTTTTTGTAAATATATATTTCATCTAAAGAAAGTTACATTTATCAAGTTGATGAACTGAAACCAAATTGAATACAAAACTGATTGCAATATATGGTATGTGGTGTCATTATATGAAAACAGTTCATGTATAATAATGTTTAACTTTTTATTAAAGCAACAAGCCTGCTTTTGGCTCAAATTTAAAGAATTGTGAGTATAATTTCTATTGTTCATTTTATTCTACTGAGATTTAAAGAGATTTTAACGAGTACTGAGTCAAGTAATTAAATTACAGACAAAGCAATTATAAAAGTAATTTAAATATATTTTAATTATGTAATTAAGTAATTAAATACTTTTTAAAAGTAACTTACCCAACACTGATAGCCACAAACATTGGTATTGAGAAGTCATTACATTGCTATCAAAATTGTTGTTAAAAAACTGATTTAAATATGCTAATGAAACTGACATCACACTCTTGACAATGTTCTGATTTAATGTAAATGACAAGCCAAAGATTAACTTTCTATTTTCACTCATTACTAATAACATTACTGCCTAAACTGAATTTCAAATTATATTAAAGTTAATTAATTCTACTATTAATTAACTTTAAAAGACTACAACTTATGTCCTGAGACACTTTACTGTCAAAACATTTCGTTTTTTATTTTAGAAGCTATTAATTGTGATTATTCTTTACCCACACTAGAATAAATACAATAGGATTCTGACACCTTCAGCTTGGTGTTGGGTAAACCAATTTTATTTTTTTAATTGATTTATATACTAATGGATCATATACACAAAATGTAACCGATTTCACTTAGACTGTGTGTAGTAGCCTATGAAGGTATTTGATCCCTGACAAGTGCATCTTTAGAATAAAACCCCTTTCCAAATAGATTGGATAAGTTTACAGTTTAAGAGTTGATAAGAAGATCATCATGATTGTCTGAGAACTGCATGAGTCATGACGCACAGCCTTGTATGGCGTAATGCAAAGGTGTGTCTGCTGATGTAGGAATATGCCCTACAGGTAGAAGATCTCACTGCTTACAAAAACCACTTATTTATGGCAATTCTACCCTGTTAAAATTGTTGTGTTAAAAATACCCTAACAAATAACCCAACTATATAGGTTATTATAGCACCTTCCCAACTATGGGTTATTTTAACTTAATACATTGGGTTATATAATTTAACCCAATGCATTGGGTTATTTTGATTAAATGTTATTTTTGCCATTTTGGTATTATTGCTACAATTACTATTGATTTAATAGTTATGGCTGGGTAAATAAACAAACGTGTTGATGGAGCAGAATATGGAGTTCTGTGTGCTGTATAGAGGCTGTCCAGCAGCTGCAGCATGCTCCACTCAGTGTCCACAATATATTTTAACCACTTCCAAACGCTTTTAAATGATCTTTTTTAGTCTTGAATGGTGAAATGGATATAAAAACCACGACACAAAGAGGTGATTTATAAATAACAACAATATTATTGCGTTACAGCGTAAATAAACTTTATAATGCAAAAACAACATTACGCACGCATTAATACAGCTGTTTCGTGTCAGTTAAATCAATTGACTGCTGGAATTCAAATTTTTAACCCAACAGGTTGAGTTATAAAATAAATAACCAAATAAAGGTTAATAACCCAACAAAGCACCAAATATTTAACTCAACCATTGGGTTAAATAAATAACTCAACTTTTTTTTTTTTTTTTTTGAGTGGGACAAGCATAAATCTTTACATAAAAAACGACAGTGAAATCTTTATCAGTCACTACTGATTAGACAAGAAAGAAAGAAAGAAAGAAAGAAAGAAAGAAAGAAAGAAAGAAAGAAAGAAAGAAAGAAAGAAAGAAAGAAAGAAAGAAAGAAAGGAAGAAAGAAAGAAAGAAAGAATCAGAAAATAAGCAACTGTTTCAACCCCTGTTCTATAAATGCTATATTTTATATGACTACAATAATTTATTACAGTTATAATATATATTGTGTGATTATATTTTTACTGTATACATTTATTGCTTGTGTTGTTTTGACTTATTGTATGCAAACAGATCAAAGAAAATGAAAAAAAAAAGCTTTTGTGCTAATTTATGCTATGCCTAAATACGAGGGTTTTTAGCCTACTTTTTAAATTACGCACAACCAAAGTGACCGATGAGATTTTCAGCGTAATCCCGAGTGTTTAACCGGGAGTGTGGGTGAGAGAGTGGGGAGGTGTGGGTTTTGGGTGTGGTGCGGGACTCGTATAGTATCGGGGGGCGGAGCTTTGGAGACTTTGCCCTCTCCTTCTAACACACATTGTTCAGCCTCATCTGAATGCAGGAGAAAGTGTCGCACTCCCTGGAACTCTGCTGTGGGGAAAACTAAAAGAGTCTTGGATCGCTGTCAGCAGCAGTGTTTGGAGACGAGTGTTTAAAGGTAAACTAAAATCTAACTGTATATATGTATAGAGTTATTTATTAATGACTACGCTTGCTTTCTTTTATGTTCGCGTGTGGACGATGTTCAGTTAAGCTTTATAATGTTAAGCTAGTTTATAACATTGATTAAAAGGGCAGCCATTAATTCGCACGGAGATCTCTTGGGAAAGTGGTGTATTGTGGAGATCTGGGTTGTTGGTGTTGGTTTACCTACCTGTACGACGTTCGACCAACTTCCGTGTGTCGGGTTACAGCTGATCAAAACTTAAAAGCGTTTATTCAGCTTTAAAACCACTGTAAAGCTAGTACTTGTTGTTTTCGTACACAGCACAGTGTATAAACATTTCGCTGTATGTTAGGGTAGTGTATACCCAACAAAGAAACATAACCCCCCACACTTTCAAATGTCAACAGTTGACATTTTAACATGATTAATAATATCTCGATGACAGACCAACTTGTTTTATAAACTAATACACATTTAAAGTTTAGGTAGGCTTCATAAGAAATGGGCTTCTTTCTGAGGTAAAAACGCTGTCATTATTTACTCACCCTCCTCATCGAAACTTGTAGGACGTTCTTTCCTCCGTGGAATACAATGGGAGATGACAATCTCTGTTATTTTTACTTTGCTTGAGAGAAAAAAAAACATTGAAAACCGTTTAAAGTTTAAGTCATTCTGAAACGTCAACTTTAAAACTAACTTCTAGCTCTGTTTCACAACACAATTAATCTTTTGCTGCATCAATTAAAATCCAAAACAGATTAAAAAAAAAAAAAAAATTTAGATCAAAAATCTATGATAACATGATAAACAATGACTTTTTTTTGCTGTTTTTAAAGCAGTGAATATATGTTTTTGTTTCCTCAGTAAGGACGTTTGGAGCCTTAATCTCAAAACTTAGCTATTTGATTGTTACGTATGTGTTCGACGTTTATACATTTTCTTCATCCTTTCAAAGCATATAATATGACAGTTTTTAAGAGAACTTTCCATTTAATCCATAAATAATGACTACTTTCTAATAAGATTTTGTATGTAATTGCTATTATTAACTGTTATTATTGTGTAATGTTAAACTGGAGTATAGAAAGCAAACACATTATTAATATTTACAGTTAAAGTCAACCCTCCTGAATTATGAGCCCCCCTGTTTATGTTTTCTCCTTTTTCTGAGAGATGATTTCAACACATTTCTAAACAATAGTTTTAATTAATGGTAATTATGTTAACTAGGCAGGTTAGAGTAATTAGGCAAGTTATTGTAAAAAAATTGTTTGTTCTGTAGACTATTAAAAAAATAGAGCTCAGAGGGGCTCATTTTAACCTCAGAATGGCTTTTAAAAATGTTAAAACTGCTTTTATTCTAGCCGAAATAAAACAAATAAGACTTTCTCTAGAAGAAAAAAATATATATTTTCAGACAAACTGTGAAAATTGCCTTGCTCTAGTAAACATCATTTGGAAATTATAAAAAAAAAAATAATTCAAAGGGGGGGCTAATAATTCTGACTTCAACTGTATGTGTAGGTGAACTGTTGATAACCATTGGTTCTGCCTCACCTGCAACCCCTTGTGAGACCTTCTGTGACTTATAAATTTAAACTAACTGTGGTATAGACCCTGGTGAGATGTTCAGAAAAGTATAAACTAAGTTTACATTTATAATAAAAAAAAATTATGTAGCTCCTTTGGCTGATTGAGGAAAGGTGTTTTTATATCCGCACATTTGTTTATTTTAACGGTCCCTATATTGTTTACCACGCTACTTTAAATATTCGGTCTGAAATCACATTTAAGTATGACTTCAAAACAATGTTAGAACTATTTAATTTACTGTAAACAGTGTTGCACTTTGACATTCGTTGGCTTTTAATATGATTCACTATCTAAAAAGTTGCAAATAATACTTTTCTTAAACAATATCATGAAGCACAAAGACAGAATGTGCGAATATAAAACCAACTTTACCTCAATCTCTGGGTGTTATGTTAGTGCATGTGTCAGGGTGGGGCTGTACCATGTTTTATTTACTTCCCAACATTAAGACCAGCCTAAAAGCTAACGTATCCTTAATGCTTTCATTCTGAAGAGATACAATCGTTTCTTTTTTTCTTGTGGTTTCTACTTGAGTAGTTTGAGAGTTTAGTGTCAAAGAAATTATGTTCTTATTAAGGAAATAACGTTCTCCGAGATACACCCTTTCCTGTTTGTCTGGTTAGCAGGGAAGCAGAAAGTCATGTCCCCCTTCAGTGACTTATCTCTTAAGGAAGCAGCTAAATTCAGCTAAATTAAATGACATGGATTTAACCAGCATTACAGTGTTCAGTTTTGGGCCAATTGAATTCCAGTTGGATTTTGGAGAACCTAAACATGCCCAACTGGCACAGAGAAAGAGGATGATTGGGATGCAAGGAAACATCTATTTAATCTCATTTACAAAATGTGAAGTAAATCTGGACAGATGAAGGAGCATATGATGATCTATTTATATATTTTTATGGGTCAGTTGTGGTTGATAGTAACACAGACAGGATGTGGCATTTGCTCTTTGTGGGAGTTCCTGAGTTTTGCACATTAGTAGTGGAGTCAGGAGCCAGCTGGTTGCTTTACTGACTGACTGGCGCTGGTTTTAGGATGAGATTTACAGCATTTGGGCTCACACATAGCCGTTAATCCCCCTACAGGCACAAATCCCTGATATTGTCCTACATTAGGACAGCAAGGGGCAGCGTGATCCCCTCTTCATAAATACACTTTCAGAGGGCACAGAGAAGATTACCCATAAGCACCATTCCCTGGATGTCCGTTTGCTTTAATTTGACAGATTTGTTAGATCAGTTAGCATCTTTATCTTTTTCCATTTCTGTCTCTTTACCTTTCTCTATAATTTATGTCTGTTGCATTTGATGGCTGTGATCTCAGCATATGCGTCACAGGCCGTTCCTTCACACACTCACGCCATATCTGTAGTCCCTAATGTGTCATGTATCTTTAATGAAGATCCGAAGCTATATGAAATCTGTGGTGAATGACCAGCTGGCTTAGATGGATAAGATGGTCTGATGGCTCTGCACAGGGCCAAGCCATTTGCTATTTAAGTCTTTTAGACGTTAATTGTTTTATAAACCTGAAACTAGATATAAAGTCCATTTTACATCATGGGGTGATAACTATGAATTTAATATAATACACTTTTGAAATTTATGAGAATAGAAAAGTCTACAATACAATTATGGCTCGTTTCCACTGACTGGTACGGTACGGTACGGTTTGGGTCAGTACGGGTCACCTTTATCAGGCTTGCGTTTCCACTACCAAGGCTACCCTTTTGGTGGGCTTGGTGTATGACAGAAGGTTTCAGTCGCGTCATTCTCGCTCAAGGAAATGTCTACAGTAAAGCTTTACGGGTCGCTCGCATATCATATGAGAAGCACTTCTCACAAAACAGACACTTTTATAAATACTTTTTTATGAATGTTTATTACTAACTTTTCTATGAACAGGATTTAATTATAACTTCAGATCAATGACAGAGCGAAATAGCCTACTGTAATTTCTGTACATAAATTAATAAATTAACATATATGAACACATGCAGCCCCTTACAATCTCCGATATGTTACCAACTACATAAAAACAACACACAGCATCGTCCTTATTTTGGTTCAAAACAACACAAAATATAGCCTACAGTCAGTGAAAACCTCTCGTCTGTGTCTGTAATCTTCAGCAGCACATGTTGACCTGTTAGAAAGTAATTTGGTCATTTCCAGTTCATATTAGTCCAAAAGATGATGATAAAAAGTAAAAAAGGCAGTTGGTTCACGTTTGCTGAAGAAATAATTTGCTCCTTTTTTCCGGCTTCTCCATTTTTTCGTGCTTCACTCTGGCGTTTGTCATTGTCTGACAGGATCGGGTTTTAAAAGCACGTCAATAATCAAGCACACTTTATTATCATCAGCTCAAGAAGTTCGTTATTTCAGATATAGACGCGCGGCGAGCGCAAGCAAGAAAGCGAAAACGCTCGCGCTTCAGACTGGCTTGTAAAAAAAACTAAGGGGCACAGAGTAAATCAACTCTTCTTTTTGGCGTTGTGGCTGTTCATCAAGACGACGACAAGGTTTGTTTGAGCCTGGATCAACCGTGCCTTGTTATTATATGTATATATAATTCCGCTGTAATCTCTGGGCTGTGTGTGTATTTTAAACATGGCAGGTTTTTTGTTTTCATTCTGGCTTGTTGCGTAAGCGAATGACATATCTATGTAAACCAATAGCGTTCAGCTGCGCATCTAGCTCCCCCTTTTGGGACCCTTTCTCGTGTTTGGTACCCTCTCGAAAGGGTGCAGAAAAAGTGGTATGGTTCGGTATGCCTTTTGATAGTGGAAACGGCCACAAAAGCGTACCAAACCGAAGCGTACCGTACTGTTCCACTTAGTGGAAACAGGCCATTATAATGCTAATCGGTCATGATATCACAGTTGGAATCATTTTCAGATTTTTTTTGGCTAATGAACCAAAAAATTATTAAAGTTATGGCCCCTTTCCACTGAGTGGTACAGTATGATATGGTTTGGAACACTTTTTTATCGACGTTTCTGCTGTCAAAAGGTACCAAAAAGCGAACCGTTACATAGCACTTTTTAGGTTTTAGGTACCCTTTCCAAGGAGAATACCATTAGTGCCCTTTTGGTAGTGGAAAAGCAAGCCTGATAACCCATACCCAAACCAACCCCTACTGTATTATATCACTCATTGGAAAGAGCCATTAGTAAGAACTCACCCAATTTATAGCTAAACTGCATCTTAGACTTCTGAGAAACCTGTGACTTTTTAGATCTGTAAGTGTATTTGGTGTGAGCATGTAAGATATGCTGCTGCTGTATAAACAGATAGACAGGTGGTGCTTTCTTGTATGGTATCCCTTTCTTGTATAAAGACTTTAAAAAAAATACTGGTAAATTGCTATATAGAGGCCATACATGAACAGGCCCT